TTCCCGCACTCCTGCACGCAGCGGCAGCTCGGACCACACTCCTGAGCCGGAAACTCGGCCGAGTCCCAACACGGGCATCCCAAACCCTCGCCGTCGCCGCAACTTCGGCAGCACTCGCACCCACGGGCGCCCTCGACCCTGAACAAGAACGGGTCCGGTATGGCCCGACCCGCACCATCATCCGGACCTCCCCAACACTGAGCTTTTCCGGTAGCGTTCGGCAGGGTTTGAATGCGGGTGTATAGGAAGTAAGCGTAAGGTTGAGAATCGACGGCGTTGACGAAAGGGACTGGTGAATTCTCGAAGCTTCTAGAAGCGTCGGCGATTCTTGCGGAAGTAATGGCGTCGGAGACTCGTCGGAAGGCCTTGCAGGTTGATGAAACGGAGGCGAGATCGGGCGGTTGTAAGTAAGGGATGATGAGACGGGCACACCGGAAGAAATGCTCTTGGCCTTCCGAGTAGTCATCCTCTTCCGGTGCGGGTCGACCCGTTCTGCATCGTTTCTCCATCGTGTTCTGCGTGTCTACTGAATAATTTCACTGATACCCCAAAGTTATGTAACACTTACAAGTAGACTCGTCTGTTTCTAATAAATAATAGTTTGGTCCCTGTTAAAATTATATTATTGCCTCCATTGATGAGTGTTTATGGCACAAGTTTTTGAATTTATGAGAAATTCTTTTCCTGAAATGTTGAATTCCTAGTCTCAAGGCTCTCGACATCCTTCAATATAGAATCAATTTCTCTTTTTCTTTTTTTCACGATTAATGTATTTCTATTGTCCCATATTTAATATTGTTCAAAGGATTATCAAAATAAGCAATAATATTCTATCAAAAATACTATTTGTGAAGATTTTCATCGAGATACCTGAATAGGGCATTAATTTGAGCACCGCAGTGTACAAGCTAAAAAAATCTCATCCCAAATTTTTTGTTCCGATAAAATTTCTATTTGTGATGTTCTAAGAATACCATCCGCAGTTAACCGCTGAACAGTGTGATAGTAAGGATTTTTTTTTTTTTTTTTTTTTTTTTGCATAATCAGTTAGGTAATAGGAGATTTAGGATAAAACAATTTCATGCAAGCCACTGCTTAGACTTCAACTTTCCAGGTAAGTACACATAAACTTGAGAAACTTACAAATATCTTCTAGCATGATGAATATGCTCAACCAAATACTTTCTTTAGATTTTTTTTAAAAAAATTAAAAGTGACAATTGCATATCGAGAATTGAATCTAATCCCTCCTGATATGAGTAGATTGAATAGGGTACCATCATATCCCTATAGTCAATCATCTACCCTTTGAGAATTATCGCTGGGGAATTGAAGCCACTATAACAACCCAGTCAGGGAGTATGAGAGATTAAGCTAAAACAAAAGGGGAGGTGGGAAATTTGACAGAAGAAGAACAAGGGAGAATAACATAGAATGAAGTAAATAATTTTCATTAATGATGTCTTGCTTGCTCTCCAATTCATGCACACAACCTTAAACTTACTTATTTTAAATTTGACATTAGGCATTAATTTAGTCGTGCAACACGCGTGCAGCACACGTGTAATGTACGTTATCAATAATAAAATTTAAAATTTACAATTTTAGGTTGTATAGTTCAATTTTTCTATATATTGAGTGTTAAAAGATAAATTGTCACACTAATTATACAACAAGCTCATTTAATTTTCATTACAAATTACAAGATTTAAAAGGGAGGTTATTTGATAACTCTCTTTAAGGGTTTTTTTGTTTTTTTGTTTTTTATTTCTTATAACCAAGAGTTACCATCAACACCCATGGAATGGCTTTGGTTTGGCACTAATATGGCCTCTGGGCTATTGTGCTTACCTTGGTGCCGGTTGCATAGTGAGTAAGGTGAAATCTGATTTCACCATTCATGACCTATGACCATTTGTCAACTCCGGAGCAAGGCTTGGGCTGCATCGAATTTAAAAATATTAAGTACCATTTTTATTTAATTTTATTCAACGATTTACTTCAATATAATATAACGTATGCATGTTGCAGATTTCATGGAATTATCTACTCTTCAATCAACTCATTGCAAATTGGTCTAATATCGAAGTAAATAAAATTGATGAAGGTTTTTGGGCACACAAGTGGAATGACCATGGTAAGGCTTCCTTTACCTTCTCCAATCAACCTCAATACTTTACTAAAGTCATAGATCTGTTGCACATGAATAATATCACACGTGTTTTAAAAGATGGTGAAATTATTGTTAGTGGCCAATACGTGGATACCCAGTTTTCTTAACACAATCCATCATGTTTTAAACGTAGATGTGAAAAGTCATTACAAAGAGACTAATCTTATCGATGTTAGAATTTGTTTTAATCCACAGTCATGATCAATTGCAACACCAAAGGCCACATCACATGACAATGCCCAAAAAGCTTTCGGATCCACATAACAATTTGAAGGTAAAGCTTTTTTGGACATTATCCTGTGATGCCTTTGATGTTGCAATTGATCATGGCAGATGCAGCTGGATTAAAACAGAAGAAGAATAAGTAAGAACAAAAAGGAAATTAAATAAATTTCATTAACGATGTCTTGCTTGCACTCTAGTTCATGCACATAACCTTAAACTTATTTTAAATTTGACATTAGGCGTTAGTTTAGTCGTGCAACACGCGTGCAGTACTCGTGCAACATGCGTTATCAATTGATCATGGCTGTTGCAGCTGGATTAAAACAGAAAAAGAATAAGTAAGAACAGAAAGGAAATTAAATAATTTGCATTAATAATGTCTTGCTAGTTGTTTTGAATTAAAACAAATTATAATCGCGATAAGATAAGTCCCTTTGCAATGAATTTTCACATCCACGTATGGATTGTGTTAAGAAACTGGGTATTCCCGTACTGGCCAACAGGAGTAATTCCACCATCTTTTAAAACACGTGTGACATTATTCATGTGCAACAGATCTAGTGCTTTAGTGAAGTATTGATTTTGATCAAAGAGGCTAAACGAAACCCTGCCATGGTCATTCCACTCGTGTGCCCAGAAATTATCATCAAATTTTTTATCTAAATATTAAACCAATCTACAATGAGTCGATTGAAGAGCGGAGAATTTTGTGAAAACAACAACATATATTATATTATATTGAAGTAAATTAAATCATTAAATAAAATTAAACTTGAGTCAGTTCTAAATTAAATAAAAATGTATAGTAGTTACACTCGTAAATGCATTTGCATTCCTAGCAACCCCAAACCTTGCTCCGGAGTTGACTCACTATGCAACCGGCACCAAGGTAAGCACAATAGCCCGGGGCCATATTAGTACCAAACCAAAGCCATCCCATGGGTGTTGTTGGTAACTCTTGGTTACAAGTGAAAAGAAAACAAACAACGAACCTTAAAATTTTCATTGAGTATGTGTTTTAATTTGCAGATGCGATGTGTAGTGCTGTGTTTAATTCTCAGCAAGCTAAGTATTATGTGTGTGTTTATATAAGCTAAGTAGTATGCTTCTAAGCGTGATTAAAGGCTATAGAATTTGAGTCCTTTAAAATATAATAATAGTTAAATTTGTGGTTTGTGCAAATATAATTATTCTGTGAACTTTGATCCATATTGCAATATAGACATGGGTTTAAAATACACAATTTACATATTAAATGTTTATAATTTGAATTGTGAACAAATCAAGCCATTACAATGGAGTAAAACAAGCAAATTTATTCATTTATAGAAAAAATTAACAATTAAAAACTAATTAACTCAAGTTTAATTGTAGTCAATGATTTAATTTAATTCACTATAATATAATATATGTTGCACATTTGCACTATAATATAATATACTCCGTATGTTGCAGTTTTCACGAAATTCTCTGCTTTTCAATCTACTCACTGCAGATTGGTCTAATTTTGAAGTAAAAAATTCTGATAAAGGTTTCTAGGCACAGAATAGAAAGACCATGGCAAGGTTTTGACTAACCCCTTTGTACAACACTAAGCATATGTGAGACATGTTGATATAAATGTATGTGTGCGGGTGGATGTCTATCATTATTTATGTCAATTACATATTCATAATTTATAAAATATTAAAGTGTGCTGAACAAATTTTATATCAAGTTTTACTCATAACTTTTTTTTTTCTTTTTTTACACTTAAATGTTAGGTATTTGTTTGGTCCGAGAGCATATCTCTAATAATTAAGATCACATCTTTTCTTTTCTTGTTCCCCCAAAAGTCATACTTAAATGTGAGTTTTTTTATATCCCTCAAGAGTCTACTTAAATGTGAGTTTTTTTCTTTCTTTCTTTTTCTCAAAAACGATTTCTTTTTCAAGAAACTTTTTTTTTTCTTAAAAACGATTTGACTCATAATAATCTATCAATTGAATTTATCTATTGTAATCTTTGTTATTAAAAAAAAATTATTAACATTTAGAGCGATTGTTGGTAAGTCAAATTATGATAGACTGTCCTTTCTTTTCTTGAAGTTAAGTGTTTTATTAACCACCAAAATAGGATAAAATTGTATAAGTCATCTATCTAGTGACTACAGTCTACAAGACTACAATGGGATACTATGCAATGAGCGTTTCAAGTCACGAGTGGTATATTAGAGCTTAGCAGACAAGCCATTGTAGGAAACAATAGAAAAGGGCAAAAGGCTATTCTCAAACATACCAGCCACAAAGCATCATTCTAATTTTACCCAATGAAGTTCATTCTATAGAAATGGAGATGACGATAATTCAAAGGAAAAATGCAGGAAAAACAAAAACAAAACAAAACAAAACAAAAAAAACATAATATCTTTCAAGACAGAAATTCTTCTGCAGTACAGTTTATGCTCTGAAATCTAACCGATTGTCTTGTGAACATCAAGAGATAGAGCCACGCGTTGAAAACGATATTCCATTGGCATGCAAGGGCTGTATCCCGCCATCACAAGATTCAAGAATCACTTGTTTGCTAATACAGAATAAGCAGTTATTTTTTTCCCTGAAGAACTAAAATTTGGATCCAAATCAGGTACTGTCATGAAGTTTTGAGCAAGGCATTGAATTTGCTCTAGATTTGATAGATTTTAACACTACAGTAGATCAATGGGATTCCATGAATTTGAGAGAATTGAAAGTCAAAAGATAAATTTCAGCATCTGTGTGTTTTATTCTTAAAACATTTTCAGACTCTCATTGTAAGCTAGATAGAACTGCTGCTCCATATTGATATTAATATCATCGATTCTCGCTTTTTTTTTTTCTCCAGTTACCAAATCAATAGAAACTAAGTGTGTATCACTATCATAACTCATCCGTTGCATGAGTAAATGACGATCCTGATTCCAAATTCGTATCGGCCGCAAAATATCATCTCCACCCCCGATGGAGGCATATTTATGCCAATTAACCTCACTACCATTTTGCATCATTAACCAAACCTCCCATCGTCCATCCCTTCTCCTCCGTCCCCCTCGATAACCAATCAAAGCAATAGTGTCATTCATAACCGAAACATTAGCATGTACAAGACCTTTCCCTTCATCCCCATTTTGGCATGGAGGATCAGATGGCAAACTAATTGTCCCAAAAGTCTCGGCACTAATGTCGAAGCAGAGCAAATACGGCGTAAACGAACCACGGTCTGAGTATCCATAAAAATTCCAATAATACTTTCCTTTCAAGTAAATATCATGATAGGGCCTTGGCCACAATCGATCGAAAAGAGGATGTGGATTAATTTCTCTCCAACCCCATATGTTATCAACCTCGCTACAAACCATTACCTTGTACTCACATTTCCATTCATCTTCATCTCCACAACACCAAACAATGACAACCTTCCCTCTCATGTTGTTACAAAACCCAAATCCAATTGATTCTTTCCGATCATCTGTAAGGAATTTGTGAGGAATGGAATTGTGAGGTGGGGAGATCGGTGGTAATGCCTTAATTTCCCGGGTGGATGGATTCCACATTGAAATATTCCTAGTTCCATCATCACTAACGGCAATTAAGCATAATATACCCTCAATACACTTTACATCTACTGTCTCTGAACTAGGTAAGGGTAGGTCTACACATCCAATCTCATCAGAATCCAATTCTTTGTAAACTAAACCAAATACTCTCTCACGCCGAAATTCACTAATCCCAATCCGACGCTCGAAAATGGCATAATCTCTTCTCACCCGACTAATTTCATAGTGCTTGTGTTGGAAATGATTATCACTTTTTATTAAAGAATAAAAGGATTTAGAAACAGACTTAAATCGCAAAAGAGACTTTACCGGCAATCTAGCCAAAATCTCGATCAGCAGCTCCCTTGGAAATTTGCAGTTCTCCATTTTGTTTGGATTGAATGAATAGCTTCGTCTAGGTAAATTTGTTTAGGGTAAATAGTAAAAACGGTGGTGATTGCAGTAACCTTGACTACGTAAATGTGGGCTGGGCTAACTGGCTAAGCGTGATTAAAGGCTATAGTATTTTTTTTATTACAAAGGAAGGGGGATACCCATACAATCTATGCCTACACTGAGGCTCGAAACCTAGACCTCCCACATAGGGGAGCAATCCGATACCAGTGGACCACAAGCCACCGGTAAAGGCTATAGTATTTGAGTCTTTTAAACTATACTCCGGAATAATAGTTAAATTTGTGGTGTGCAGAAATTATTCACTTAGACCTGAGTTCAAAATATACAATTTATATATTGAAATATTTATAATTTAAATTATGAACAAGTTTTAAGTCATCAATATTTATCCAACAACAAATTTTAATTAAAGCATGGGACGGTATTTAAATTTAAAAAATTAACCCCCATCCTCCAATTGGCCAATTGTTATGTTGTGGAACCGTGTCCACCTTGCAAGGTGGACACGGTTATATATCTTCATAATTACTGAATTATATGTTTATAATTATAAAGTTATATATTCATAATTTTTGGATTTCATATTCATAATTATTGAACTCTACTATGTTCATAATGACTGAACTTTATGTTCATAATTATAAAGGTATATATTCATAATTTTTGAACTTCATATTCAAAATTATTGAATCTCTATATTCATAATTACAGAATTATATATTCATAATTATGTTCACAATTCTATGTTCATAATTATAGAACTATATGTTCATAATTTTTGAACTATATATTCATAATTATGAACAGTTTTTAAATCGTGTCTACCTTGCAAAGTGAACACGATTCCACGGCATAATTTGCTCTTTTGTTCTTGATTGAAGACAAATGCTCCACGTTATTATGTTCGTTTCATTTTTTGTTATTTTTTAATATAACTAGTTCTTTTACGCGCTTTGCACGAATGTAATAATGATCAATGATTATTTTTAAATAAGTATTTCAAAGTATATCAATGCAATATTATATCAGAGATGTTCATGCATAGCTAAATAAATATTAAATTTATTTATTTAAATTGTCATTTAAAGTATATAAATACAAGATAATATATGAGAGATTGATTATATTATCACTAAAATAAATGTTTACAATTTTGTAATAATGCTAGTAAATACTTAGTCTAAAAACGATAGTCTAAATAAATATTACTTTTGGTTTAAATTTCTCTAATTCTTCTTAATTATCTTTTGGATAGCATTGTCATTGTCTTCATCTTCAGTACATTTTTATTGGTAGTATGTCAGGTGCAATTGGGTTACGTCAATTGGGTGAATGCAAACTTTATTCCAATCAAACACAAATGTACAATTTTCACTACAGCATACCCTAGGATATGAATTTTGGCCTAAAAACCCAACTAATTACTGAAAGAGGCAGTAAAATTCCATACAATGCCTCGAAATAACCACGTCGTCAAAGAACCACAGACATCTATTGAACCCATAAATGAAATGAGTCCAAGGATGTATCTTCTTCCTTCACAGTTTTTCTTTTGTGTCTCAGCCCAAAACCTGAAAAATCCCAGCTAATTTGCCATCCACAATTCAATCTTGCTGAGGATCTAGTGAAGTTTATTCTACGAGAATTCAAAGGAAAAAAAAAACATAATATCTACAATTTTTTATGTGTGATTGAATCCTTCTAAACACTACATGAAAACCCACCAAGTTTCACGTCTACAAAACTCATTATGGTCACATTTCATTTCCGAGATGAGTATAAGATCAGTCAATGGATGAAGAACAAGCATTAGCTTGCTTCTACTGCTTCTAACACTTGAATACTTGATGGTCATTTCCGAGTATAGGAGCATGCAGTCAATGAATGAATAACAAGCTAAGCCTTGCTTGTACGCTTCTAACACTTCATATTCCACCTTGTGATCCAGCAAAGCAAATCTCAAAGAAAACAAATGTAGTACAATGACAATGACAATGACGTAAAACAAATTCAGTTTGAGCTACTTGAAGTAGAATGACATTACAATGGAGTAAAACAACCAAATTCATTCATTCATATCAAATAATTAACAATTAAGAAAATGACACGAAGTGGCTTAGCCTATATAAACACACACATAATACTTAGCTTGTTGAGAATTAAACACAGCACTACACATCACATCTGCAAATTATAAAACACATACACACAATGAAAATTTTAAGATTGTTTATTTTCTTTTTACTTGTAACCAAGAGTTACCAACAACACCCATGGGATGGCTTTAGTTTGGCACTAATATGGCCCCTTGGGCTATTGTGCTTACCTTGGTGCCGGTTGCATAGTGAGTAAGGTGAAATCTGATTTCACCATCCATGGCTTATGGTTGTTTTCCAACTCCAAAGCAAAGGTCAGTGCTCCTAGGATTGCAAATGCATATACGAATGCAAGTACTCATACAATTTTTATTTAATTTAGAACTAACTCAAGTTTAATTTTATTCAATGATTTAATTTACTTCAATATAATATAATATATGTTGCAATTTTTACAGAATTCTCTGCTTTTCAATCGACTCACTGCAGATTGGCCTAATATTGAAGTAAAAAAAATTGATGATGGTTTCTGGGTACACGAGTGGAATGATCATGGTAGGGCTTCTTTTACCCTCTTTATCAAAAATCAATACTTCACTAAAGCACTGGATCTGTTGCACATGAATAATATCACGCATTTTAGATGGTGGAATTACTCCTGGTGGCCAGTACGGGGATACCCAGTTTCTCAACACAATCCATCATGCTTTAAACACGTAGATATGAAAATTCATTGCAAAGGGACCTATCTCATCGATGTTAGAATTTGTTTTAATCCAGCTGCAATAACCATGATCAATAGCAACACCAAAGGCACAATGCCCAAAAAGCTTTACCTTCAAATCTTAGCCAGCTTGCGGGGCTTTGAATGTTTGGGATTTTAGAAAATAATAAATAAATGTTGGATGGGTTACTAGTTAATTTGTTAGAGAGGATATGATGCATATATGATGTTATTTTGTACCGTGTACGTTAAAGCAAACTATATACATTCATCAAATCCTCCCTAACAATATCAACTAGTAACCCATCCAACATTTATTTATTATTTTCCAAAATCCCAAACATTCAAAACCCTGTAAGCTGGCAAAGATTTGAAGGTAAAACTTTTTGGGCATTGTCCTGTGATGCCTTAGTGTTGCAATTGATCATGGTTGTTGCAGCTTACAAATCCTAATCTCGATAAGATAGGTCCATTTGCACTGAAATTTCACATTTACGTTTAAAGCATGATGGATTGTGTTGAGAAACTGGGTATCCCCGTACTGGCCACCAGGAATAATTCCACCATCTTTTAAACAGTCGTGATATTATTCATGTGCAACAGATCCCGTGCTTTAGTGAAGTATTGATTTTGATCAAAGAGGGTAAACGAAACCTTACCATGGTTAATCCACTCGTGTTTCCAGAAACCATCATCAAATTTTTTTACTTCAATATTAGGCCAATCTGTACTGAGTCGATTGAAGAGCAGAGAATTCGGTAGAAATTGCAACATAGATTATATAATATATTGAAGTAAATTAAATCATTGAATAAAATTAAATTAGTTCTAAATCAAATAAAAATGTATAGTACTTACACTCGTATATGCATTAGGATTCCTAGGAGTTGATTATGCAGCACGAGCTTCTAACACTTGGATCATACTCCACCCTGTGATCAAGATAGAAAAGAAAATCTCAATCAAAATAAGAAACATTGAATTTGAAGCTACAACAATAATTTCTTTTCCTAATAGTAAAAACTATCATTAATTTTGGACAGTACACAAGTACTCGATCGTATTACAAAGCAGCAATGATAAAATCATGCATGTTTCCATTTCCAGCTAGCCCTTGTTTCATTCTCTTGTATATTTCTTTCCCGGCCCCCATTTATATACTTCAGTATGTAGCTAGTGTGAGCTAGCTAACCAGTTCACAAAGAGACCAACGAATTAAAATTCTGCTTGTATACAACAAATGCAACACCAAACTTACGAAGCCAATGCATACTGACACTTCACAAATCATTTCATACCTAATTGTGTGTTCGTTAGCCATAATGCTACTTGATCTGTGAGACTATTTGTTTAGTTCAAACGAATATCATATAGGGCCTTGACCACAAAGGATCGAAGTGAGGATATGGATTAATTTGTAGTTCCATATCAAGATATTCCTAGTTCCATCAGTCCTAACTCCTAAGGGCAATTAGGCATAATATATATACCATCAATACACTTTACATCCTCTATCCCTGAACTTGGGAGGGGTAGGTCTACACATAACACATCCAATCTCATCAGAATCCAATTCTTTGTAAACTAAACCAAATACTCTCTCAGGCCTGAGTGGAAATTCCCCAATCAATTCCCCAATCCCAATCTTAGGCTCGAAAATGACATTATCTCTTCTCACCCGACTAATTTCATAATGCTTGTGTTGAAAATGATTATCACTTTTTAGTTTTTATTTAGAGACTTTACCGACAACCCGTCCCTTACCTTGCTGGTTTGTGGTCAGATTTCCAGCCCAACGTCTTTGTTGGAGAAAAAACACACCCAGACCTCCGGGTAAGAAGCTGGCCGGAAGAAATGGTGGCTAAAGCTAACCCCGTTTGAACGAGATGAAGGCTAGCCCACTGGTCGCCGGTGGCTTGGTTGAACACGCGAAAAAACACACTAAGCCCCGACGGAACTTCTGCACCTTCGAACCGTGGCCAGAAAAGTGGACTGCCGGCCAGATCCCTCAAGCTGCCTGAGTTTTCACCGGAGAAAAAACCAAGAGAAAACCCACTGGAGCGAGCAGATTCACTCCAACCCACCCACACAGCCACACTTGTTTTATGTACTTTTGTTTCATTGTCTTGTTGTTTTGTAGATTTGTGTATTTCTATCATGTTTTGTTGACGAGTTTCTTTTTGTCTTTTCTCTAACGTGATACGATCTGTGTATGTGAAACTTATCCTGAACAATAAAAAAAGTTCTAAGATAGGTAGGGATGGCAACGGGCAGGGCAGGGCGGGGCGGGGGCGGGGAGTATACTTTCCATTTCCGTTCCGGCGACTCCAATCTCATCCCCGTTTCCGTCTCTGTTTTTGGCGGGGAATTAAAAAATTCTCCATTTCTATCTCCGCGGGGAATTCCCATCCCCGATCAACCCAAAGTCAATGTGTAAAAGTAATACAATTTTTTAAAATAAAAAATAAAAAAATTAAAATTCATAGTCAATATATTCTAATAATCTAATTAGTCCAATATATACACATTCAATATTCACAATGCATGCAATGTAATCAATATTGAATATATTCCAAATTTCAATTCATCCCATATATACATAGTGTTTGAATAGTTAAATAATATTGAGTGTGTTTTAAATTTTAATTTTAAAATCTAATAAAGTTAATTAACTAAATAAGTAATAATCTAATTCCTAATTCCAAATATAATATATAATATATATATTTTTTAATTTTCGGGGATGGGCGGGGCGGGGAGGGGTATCCCCGTCCCCGTCCCCGACGAGGAATTTAAAAAGTTCCCCGTCCCCGTCCCCAATCCCCGAAATTTTTTCCCGTCCTCGTCCCCATCCCCTACGGGGACGGGGCACATTGCCATCCCTAAAGATCGGGTATGTATATTGTCGATGAACACAATAATGGAGAATTGGAGATGAATACTTATGTGGTATAATACTTTTCAACTAGTCTCTCTATATTTGACCAGATCATTAATAATTCTAAAAAAGTATTAAGTTTTCAATTTATGAAACAGTCTGCCTGCGGATCAAGTTTTCTGTAGCCTAGCTAAAAAAATATATATTTTTGTGTCAAACAAATGACTTACCATTCCATCAAGCTTTGTTGTAAATGTTCATATTTATGATTAATGAGTTTGTTATTTCCAAAAAAGTGTGATATATTGGCTATAGTATTTGGGACTTTTAAAGTGTGTTTGACAGAGTTTATTTAGAAATGTATAACTTATTTTAAGCTACTATTTGAGTGTTTGGTAATGTTTCTAAAATAAGTTCCTAGCTTAAAATTATCATTTACCCTTTCTAACTTTTTGTTCCATCTTTGTCCTTGTTATTTTAAAGAAATGACATCTTTTACCCTTCCCAGTTAAAATCATTTTCTCTTATCCTTTATCCGCAACTTTCACACCGCAATTATTATTATTATTATTATTATTATTATTATTATTATTATTAGATGAAGGAGATTCACGGAATATTGTTACTTCATTATGGGATTCTAAATCATGATTATGCTAATAATTTTATTTCAAAATGTTAAATTTTAATATGTAAATAAACTAATTTACATTTTATGAAGATGCCCTTTTTGTCTTTTTACATTTATCAACTTATCAAAAAAGTCAATTTTACCAAATACTTTTCAGCATACCAACTCTTCAATTTACACTTTTCAGCATAATAACTCTTCAGTTTTCAGCTCCTAGCTTATAGTTTTCCAGCTTTCAATTCCTTTTAAGCTTTTAGTTACATTTTCAGCTAAGTTTGTTAAATATAGCCTTAAAATAGTTAAATTTGTTGTGTATTTATTGGGCAACATAACAAAGTCAAGACCTTCGATTCCTAGCAGATATGCTATATATACTAGTTTTTGACGCGCATTGCGCGATTGAGATAAGGCCCAATATTTTGTTTAAATAAGTACTTTAAAGTATATAAAAGCAAAATTAAATTAGAATTGTTCATGCATAGATAATTGAATATTGAATTTGCGTATTTAAATAGGTAATTCTAAGTCTACAAATACAAGATAATATAGTCAAAATTGATTATAATTATCAATAAAATAATTGTATAGGTATGGTTGAAACTAAATACGGGACATAAGGTAGATCAAATAAAAAATTATGGCATAAAATATTAAATATATACTAATATTGAAGAGCTAACTGCTGATTACCAAACAAGTACATTGCGAGGTAGTTTTTCACTTCAATTTGTTGTGTGATTTGAATACTCTTTCAGGTCCCGAGTTAATAGATGTCCAATGGTTATGACCATTTCAGGTAATAAAAAAAAACATACTCAAGGACTAAATTGAGAAATTTTAAAAATCGAGGACGAAAATGGTGAAATCTTCATAGTCGAAGGACCAAATCGGTAATTAACTCTTTACATCACATGCATCTTATAGCAAACTCAATAGTGAGTTTTCTCCTCGTTGGCCATCTTGACTCTTGAGTGCCCCTCAAGACTCAAATGGGTGTTTTTATTTTTTATTTTTTTTCCCAAAAATCAAGTTTAAGATTTTATCTATTGTTCACATGATTTTATTTGAACACTAGTCACATCACTTAATAAGTCGTTAAATTATCATAATTTATTCCTTCATTATTATGCCTGATTTACAACAACGTACCATCAACACTATCTCATCTTACACCTTTAACAATTTATTTTTATATTTATTTATTTATTTTTTACATACATATGGCATATTTGTTTTAAACGTTTTTTTAAAAAATTAAGATGCTTATTTCTAATTATTTAAAAGAAATGGGAAGTTATTGTAAATATGAAACCTTTGAAACCCTTGAAGAGAAACACTGCAAAACGCGGGGTTACCAGTTATCTCAAGGCTCAAGCCCTTTCTGCCCCCTTTTTTTCCCGCCACTTCCTGCTCTCTTCACTCTTTAAGCATCTCTCTCTATCTCTCTCTCGTTCTCTCGCTCTCTCGCTCTCCGACAGTAGGCGGAGATGTTGTGGGTCGACAAGTACCGCCCGAAAACCCTAGACAAGATCATCGTGCACCAAGATGTTGCTCAAAATCTTAATAAATTGGTACTTGGATTCAGTCCTCTGATTTCGGGTTTTTGTTTTGTTTTGTTTTTTAATAGTTTGTTACTTGTTCTGAAATTTTAAGATTTGCTTTGATTTTTATTCTCCGATTGTTTGTAGGTTACAGAACAAGATTGCCCGCATTTGCTGTTTTACGGGCCATCAGGGTCGGGTAAGAAAACCCTAATTATGGCCCTTATCCGGCAGTTATTTGGGGCCAGTGCCGATAAGGTAATTCGTTCTCACTATTTCGTACTTATTTACTAATATTTCTTTTAAATTATTTTTTACTAGTTCATCTGTTAATTGCTTCTGTAGGTGAAAGCTGAG